CCTATGTCTCCTCTACTCTATCTATAATATCTCTATGAGCTCGAGATGGCGGGACTCGTGAGTCCCGACCCCCATCTCCAAATTCTTTCTTTGTCTCTCTCTCTCTCTCGCGTGCGCGCGCAAGAGACTCTTTCTCTGTCTGTCGCTCCTTCTCTTTTTTTCTCTCTCGTTCTTTTTCTCTGTGTATGCGTGTATGTGAAATATGTGTATATATATGTGTGTATATATATATAAACTAATTTTTACTATTTATTGATTTATTAATTTACTACATTTTATGAATTAATGAAATATTTATGTAATCGGGATCAAAATGATACTTCTGCGTTGTATAATATAGTTACAATATTGTACAAAATAGAATTAATATTTTTTAACTCTAATATAAGCAGGAGAAATTTATATGTAAATATAATGTGTATTTGGGGTAATATGTATACATAAAGAAAGCTGGAGAGCAAAAGAACGGTGGGAGGGCGGGAAGCGGAAAAGAATATTTCAACATGAATAAATGTGCGTCATATATTTCTTCACATTCTATAATAAATAATTTTGTTAAGGATTCGATTTCTTTAGAATATGTATTATAAACTTGTGCCACAATAAATCCTATTTTTATATAGTATGTGCCAGGTTTTTCTATTAATCGTAAACGTCTGCTTTGTATCTTGTCCGTCAGTTCTTCCTTCATAAAAGTTCTTTCTTCATATTATTCTATTCTTTACACAGAGAGCATCGTACCGTACACAAGTTATTAAAGTCAAACATGACAATTTTCCGCAACACGAATATGCATGGATTGCTGTGTAGATCAATAAGAAATAAGATACGTCATTATTGCGGCAAAAGACTTTGATTCTCGCTGCACATGCGCTTGTTTCTCAGACGCGCGAATCTGAAAAACAAAAACACGTCGAGAATCGGCGAGAATTGAAGTCTTTCGCTGCAGTAGCAACGTCTCATATTTCTTACTGATATTCACAGACAATGCGCATACTTGTATGGCGGAAAATATCGTCACATTAAAGTTAAAGAATTCGCACGGTATAATGCTCAATATATATAACATATATATAACTCAACATAAAATGTATTCTTTTACAAAAAATGAATTAGCGAAAAAGATACAAAATGGATGGTATTTGATTAATAGAAAAGCCTGGCACATATAAAGGTAATGATTGTTGGAATAATTTTATGGTACGTACTTGAAAGAAATCCACCCTTCGAAAAAAATATCATAGAGTGCATAGAAATATGACATATTCACTTTAAAATATTCTTTTCTGCTTTCCCTGTATACGTATATTACTACATATATATATTGTAAAGGGTGTCCCAAAATTCACGTAAGAAGTAATTTTGATAGAAAACACAGTTTTATAATTAAAAATTGTAAATTTTTTATTGATTCGTAGAGTATACAGTATAGGGTTATGTATGGAATAGCATATCGGGTAAATGGCCTCCACGGCTTTGCTGGCATATATGCACTCTTTTGTTGAAATTTTCCATGACCATTTTGCATAAATGTGAATTTCGTTGATACAGCGCTCAATTTCTTTCAAGGCATGGGTGGTCGTGGACTTGTTGACATAAACCTTAGACTTCAAAAAACCCCAAAGAAAACAGTCCAACGGCGTTAAATTGCATGATCTGGGCGGCCAAATCTGACCACCAAAACGGGAAATTACACGACCAGGAAATGATTCATGCAGTAATTGAATTGTTTCTCGGGCTGTATGGCATGTGCCACCGTCTTGTTGAAACCACATGTCGTCCAGATCCATATCTTGCAATTTAGGCACAAAAAACTGGATTATCATGTCGCGATAGCGAGTACCATTAACTGTTATTGCCTGACCAGCCCCATTTTCGAAGAATGGTCCGATGATGCCTCCAGCCCAAAATCCGCACCAAACAGTGACACGTTGTGGATGCATTTGTTTCTCAACAATCACTCGTGAATTTTCTAAACCCCAAATGCGACAATTTTGTCGATTAACCAAGCCATCAAGATGAAAATGAGCCTCATCGCTGAAGATGATTTTGTTCGAAAAATCAGCATCCACTTGTTGTTGTTCCATAATCCAATCAACGAACTCTCTTCGCTGTGGCCGTTTACCCGATATGCTATTCCATACATAACCCTATACTGTATACTTTATGAATCAATAAAAAATTAACAATTTTTAATTATAAACTTGTGTTTTCTATCAAAATTATTGCTTGCGTGAATTTTGGGACATCCTTTATATACGTTGACACGTTGATACTAGTTGACAATCAGACTAATGTATCCGTTGATTTTGTGCAATGCAAAATCTGTAAAACGATACTGGTTTATAAAAATATCGGAATTGGCCGGAAACGCGGTTTTCATGCCTTTAAGCTACGTTTCGTTGGTTTCGGGAATAATCGGGAGTAGTCGGGAGTCTCGATCGAAACAGATCGAGCTCATTCCCGATGAGCTCTTGTGGCTTCTATCCCCTCCACTCATCGTGGGGCAACGACAGCGTCGGGAATCGCTAGCGTGGCAATCGGGAATGAGCGGTAGCAGAGCAGCAAATTGCACATCTCTACTGTGTATATAGGTATATGTTCAATCAATTAGACAACTTTTATGCAAAATTGACCAGACATTTTTAAGATAAAGTCGAAAAATAAGTTTCTAAGCTGGCATTTAATTTCTTTTTTGCATAAAAGTTATCTTATATATTATAAATATCTACTTTTGGTAAATGTGAAGGAAATGGGCTCCCGCTCTGATTTGCGTGAAGCTTTGCAATATTGTGTATTTTAATGTGCAAAATACAAATCTGAAAGTAAAAAGTGTCACTCTCAAGTGAAAGAAGAGTTATGAAATGTTAAAAAGTGATAATTCTGAGGTTAGAAAACTTATATCGATGACAAGTAGGAACACGATGATCTGTAGCCACATGCGCATGTTCCGTGGTGATATGCGCATGCGAGAAGCGCAAGTTTGAAACGCAAATGTATTAAAAATTTTCTCCTCATATACAAAGTCTAAAATTATTAGAATGATTGGGACAAAAACTGAATTTAGTATATACATGTAATAACGTAAGATGTTTACCTTGCGCGAAGGTTTTGCTAATTTATCCAAGATATTTTAGTATACTTCCTAAGTAACACAAGAGATTTTAACCATCGCTCATTGTTTATTAAAAAGTTATGAAAAAAAGAAGTTTCATAGATAAAGCCTATTTTTTATAGATAAAGCCTATTTTTCCACAATATACATTACTACACATTGGTATACATGTTACTTTAGTATACTTCTTATGTAACATTCAATATACAGAGATTAGTAAGTTAAATATGAAACTAAATTCGAAATTGATTGTCTTTTGTTTTCACTATGTTACAATTATATGCATCAATATACCTGAACAAAATGCAGTTACACTAATTTTTAGCTGTCACAACAAAGAAAAATTAATTTCTTAATGGAAACTAAATTAACAAATAACGAAATAATTTGTTCTGAGTGTAAAATTAAAATAAAACTAGATAGAAATAACTTTCTATTTCACTGTCAAAAAGTATATTATGAAATAAATAAACATAAGAAAAGAATGAAAAAAAGGTACAATTATAAAGTGAGTGCAGAAGTTGATACGTGATTTTCCCAGAGTAAACTAGTAGACTTAGGTACTATATGCAAATTGATTGCATATTTTATTATGTTAAGGCCTCCGAGGCAAAAGTATAGAAAATATAGAATTTGCAATTAAACATCTGCTTCATTGGGGAAGGTGGAGATTTCAGCTGGATATATTTCTGCTATCGCACAGAAAAAATTATATAGTCGGTCCTCATATTAGTTTTTAGACTTTCGGTATTGGAGTTTTCGATATCAGTATGGATATCAGTATTCGATACCGGAGCTCCTAGCCCTGATAATGCAAGCTGCAATGTTTGCGAAATGTCGGCACCAAGCTGAATTACGACGCGATATCCGGAAGAAACACACCCTAGTCGGTCCTTATAGTTATGAACACGTTTGAAAAGATATTCAGATAAGTATTGCAAAATGTTCATTGCGAACACTGTAGCGTGGGTTCTTACTTCTCTGCAAACGCGTTCGATGTGTTGAATATGTGCTCCTAAAATATAAAAAATATGTAAAATAAAAACAAATAAGTAGTTTTATTTCGTGTATATGGTTGCATGTTGTAAAAATATGATTATATATAAAATATTTTGTAAAACAAGCTATGTATTTAAAACAATTATATTATTAGTTATAATTTTCTACTTAATATAAATATTATACAATATAACGTGTGCTATGTACCAGTTACACTGTTGAGTGGATAATTAATTAATAGATATTCTTACTGGTTTGCTGGGTACTTATCCATACCTAGATCAACGAAATGTATGTATATAATTATTCTTACCTCTGGGCAAAAAGAAATCCAATCTACTATTAAATGCCGAAAAAGATCAAGTTCTCTGCATTCAATAGTGCATAAGAAATTTTGCCTCGGAGGTCTTAACATAATGAAATATGCAGTCAATTTGCATATAGTAGCTAAATCTAGTTTACTCTGGGAAAACCACATATGAACTTTTGCACTCATTTTATAATTGCACCTTTTTTTCACTCTTTTTATATGTTTATTTGTTTCATAATGTACTTTTTGACTGCGAAATAGAAAATTATTTCTATCTAGTTTTATTTTATTTTTACACTCAGAACAAATTATTTCGTCATTTATTAATTTAGTTTCTATTAAGAAATTAATTTTTCTTTGTTGTGGCAAAAAATTCGTGTAACTGCATTTTATTCAGGTATATTAATGTGTACAATTGTAACATAGTGAAAACAAAAGACAATCACTTTCGAATTTAGTTTCATATTTAACTTACTAATCTCTGTATATTGAATGTTACATAAGAAGTATACTGAAGTAACAGTAATATATACTATGGAAAAATAGGCTTTATCTATAAAACTTCTTTTTTTCATAACTTTTTAATAAATGAGCGATGGTTAAAATCTCTTGTGTTACTTAGGAAATATACTAAAATATCTTGAATAAATTAAATTAATAAAACCTTTGCGCAAGATAAACGTCTTACGTTATTACATGTACCCAGATAGCCAAACCTGTGCAGATTTCGAGCAAAACCTGCTATTGTAGTTTGATGGCAAATAGGCAAATTTAACGCAAAATCTGTTATATCAAATTATGCCACCAATCTGCGATCAAATATGCGTCACATCCTGCTGTCGGCAGATTTGTAGCAAAAACCGCACAAAACTTGCAGTAATTTGACGGCAGATTGGCGGCAGAAACCGAACAAACTCTGCGCGTAGTTTGGCAGCAGGACCTGCGCGGTTTCTGCCGACAATCTGCTCGTACGGTCTGTCACGCAGGTTGTGTCGACAAAACACGAGCCTAATGAGGACACAGATGGCTATAGTTTTGATGTGGGGATCTGATCGAAATTGGATCGAATCTGTGCGCATTCTGCTAGCATTTTGCTTATTAGGTATTGGATGATTGCATAAATTCGTGCCCGATTTTTATAAATGGCGTTAACTTACTGCATGGCGGAACTCCGGTGTTTCTGTTTGGTTATGTTGCATGCACTGAATAGGTGACAGTGTCTTGTGTCATTTTAGCGTCAGTCATCGTTCAAATAAGTCGATTTGTGCGTTAGAGAAATTTTTAAAATGGTGACGAAAAGGTGCATTTGCGGCATGTAATGCTATACGAATTTCGGAAAAGCGTGAATGTTGGGACTGCATAAAAAACATTCAGAGCATTTATTTGAACCGTGCTCTTGCTCTCTGAACGGTTAAAAAGTGGTTTGGCAGATTTCGAAATGGTGATTTCAACTTGGAAGATCGACCCCGCTCTGGCATTGGTGACGACATTATGTGTACCTTAGTGGAAGAAAATCCAAGGATTACAACTGAAGAGATTGCTAAGGAGATTGCTGAGAAGCTGAAAATCGATCATTCGATCGCGTTTCGCCATTTAAAAAAGCTTGGATGTTTCCAAGCTCGATACATGGGTGCCGCATCTCTTGACTGAAAGGTATAAACTGAACCGCATGAATGTGACCATTTCTTTCCTCGTACGTAACAAAAAAGTGCCTTTTTTGAATCGAATGGTAACAGACGATGAGAAGTGGATTCTGTACAACGTACAGCGAAAGAGGACCTGGAAGAAAGCAGCTGAAAGTACAGAATCCGTCGCAAAAGTTGGCAAAAGGTGTTGCTGTGTGTTTGGTGGGATTGCAGGGGAATTATTCACTTCGACGCGGCGAAACAATCACAGCGGACAAGTACTGTGAACAACTCACTAAACTCGATGCGGCTATTCGAAAAGAACGTCCGGTTTTGACCAATCGGAAAGGCATCATCTTCCACCACGACAATGCTAGACCGCACGTCGCCCAACAGACGCTGCGAAAACTGCAGGAATTGCAATGGGAAATTCTCTAGCATCCACCATATTCTTCACATATTGAACCTTCAGATTTTTATCTCCGGTCTTTGCAGAATAGTTTGAATGGCGAAAATCTTAAATCCGAGGAAGCTGTCGAAAACCACTTCACGAACTTTTTTCAAGGAAAACGAAATTCTTTCTTCAAAAATGGAATCGACAAGCTTGTAGATCATTGGAAAACAATTGTAGAGAAGAATGGAGACTATATAATTGATTAGTAAAATTGTATTCTTTAAAATTTAACTTATTTAAGTTTATCTTTAAATCGGACACGAACTTATGCAATCATCTAATATATACTAAATTCAGTTTTTGTCATAATCATGTTAATAATCTTAGATTTTGCATATGAGGAAAAAATTTTTAATACATGTCTGCTTTCAAATTTACGCTTCTCGCATGCGCATATCACCACGGAGCATGCGCATATCGCTACAGACCATCTTCGTGTCGCTGCCATAGACATATAATATCTAGACTGCGCGATCTCCCTTTGTTAGAACACATCAGAAATTAGAAAGAATTACTGTACCATTCTGTCTTTTTCTAAAAACGCGTGATAGGGGAAGAAGCCTTTGGTGGAGGACGAAAAAGGAAGGTAGAGGGGAATGGAACAATACAAGTAATCCCCACTCCAAACATTATCAGACGAAGACAGAATGGTATCCCAAAGCATGCTCTCTCTTTCTAATATTTGACAACTTTTCGGCCGAATGCGCGGTCTAATTATTGTACGTCTATAGTTGCTGCGTATCGTCAGTATGACGACGTCTGATTTTCTAACCTCAGAATTATCACTTTTTAATACTTCATAACTTTTCTTTCACTTGAGAGCGACACTTCTTACTTTCAGATTTGTGTTTTGCACATTAAAATACACAATATTGCAAAATTCCACGCAAATCAAAGCGGGAGCACGTTTCCTTCACATTTATCCTACTTTTTATATCTAAATAATTCTTCAGGTGCTTCTCTGAATGTTTATTATACGTTTCGCAGCTATTGATGTTTTTCTCGATTTCTCCGAATTAGCACCTGAATAAATATATACAAATGAATATTGTTTTTCAGAAATTACTTCATATACTGTCGTTTAGGCAAAAGTAAAATGACTCCAATGGCCACGCATATATGCCACAGGCTATGAACGAGATAATAATTCTTGCGTGTTTGTAGGAAAGCATAAGAAACGAGGCCCAGAGAAACGAGGAGAAGTCCTGCCGGAAAGTATATGGTCCTAAACAAAAAATAAGAAATATACATATAATTCCTATATTCTCTTCCTTTTTTCTCCTTTTTTTCTTTTCTCCCTTATCTTTATCTTTTTCTTACCTGTATGGGCGTGAGGGATATCTAATAGTTTGTTTTCTCCTGCATCTATATCCCCAGAACAATCCAATCATAGCAGAGCCGGTAACTGCAGGCAGAAGAAACACCCAAAGTGCCGTACGGTCCATTTCGGCGCCCATGGCGAGCACAATCGCACCGGCTACTTGGCAGAAAGCAGTGATCTGTGGTCTAAGCGCTGCCATCGCTACTAGAGTCATCCAGATAGCAAGCAACGCATTGAAGAAGTCACAAAACTGTAGCACGCTCAACCGCATAATACATACGCCATAAACATCTTCACCAGCCTCGCAGGCGTGATAAAATGTAGAAAAAAACATGACTGCAGCATAAGATAGCGTTTCGGTAAAATATTCACGGCGAATCGCCACATATATCGATCCGACAAATGTAAGGTTGCTAAAAGTCAAAATTAGCAATTGGAGAAGTATACCACTATGAGTGAGGACGTATGCATCGTCGGCGCAGTCGAAACCACGATATCCTCCAGTACAATGACATGCCGAGAATACAAAACCACCGCTCATGTAATGCATACATTTGCCATGATCATTGCAACGACCCTCGATGCACGGTGACGATGCTACAATGCTCTCTACTTGGACAGGACAGCGTGACAGACAGTCGCAGGTATTACATGCCGTATCACCACGAAGGCACATCTGGCCGCATGGACAAATATTACTGTCGGTTGTCTCTTCCGAACAGAAGGCGCGCATACTCACGTACCAGGTTCCCTCTTCCGGGAAAGGCACGTGTATGTATGCTGGCCCAGTTATATTTACGTATACATCGGCCGTAGTGATACCATGTACACGTTCGCAAGCACCACCTGATGTTATATTCGAGTAGTGACCTATGTTTTAAAAATTCAATCAGCATAAAAACAGAAATGTGCGAGTACACAATTAGAAATTAATTTAATTGATCTTTGATTCAGTTAATAGTAAATTTAATTATTGAATAAGATAAAAGAGTTGAATAACATAAAGATATTAAAATATAGTAAGAACATGATATTTTTCTATAACGGTTTCATTCTGCAAAAAAATAACTACATATTATCAAAAATATATAAACTAACCGAGAGAAATGCAGGCAATAAGGACGATGTTCTTATATTTCTCGTTTATATCGACTAGCTTAAATCCCAAGGTGATCGTACCACCAACATCATACACCCGACCAATCTTAAAGTTAAAAACGGACAGAATGTCAGCAGTTACGTTGAAAGGTTGAGGTTTGGTGTCGTTACCATATAGATGTTCATAATCAAAGAGGAAAAATTCTGGGAATGACTTTCTCGTTAGTTCCACTGGCGTCACCTGATCGAAGATCACTTGATTTATCAATCGCACTATTATGTTTGACATGTTCCCCGAAAGCAGACGAAGAGTTATGTAATGGAAACTGTTGGCATAGGGTTTGAAGAACAGCGACGTCTGTGTAGAATTCAACAAAATATTGACAAGATTATCTCCCGCCGTAACATGGACAGTAATGTTGCAATCCTCACTACAAGATGAACTCAGCACTAGGCTCGATTCCATGAGATACACATCTGGCACGTAAAACTGTATTACCGCCGAATCCGATGTGTCATTTAACTGCAACTTGTGCTCGAGTCTAGGATCCACCAACAACGTTGTAGACGGCAATTCTACGAACATTTCAGCATCTAACACAGTTTCACAAGATACACCAAGACCTATAAAAAATAAAATTTTATTAAATTTAATAAGCATAATAGAAAGTTAAGAATATTTATCTTTATATCAAATTATTACGATAAATTTAACATATTAAATAAATATAAAAGTTTTGATGGATTTCGTGATAGAAAAATGGATTAACAAGGAAACACAAAATGTCTCTAACTTTTGTTAACTTATCGACTTTGGAAATTTCAAAATGATCAAATTAACAAAAGTCAGGGCGCTATTATAACAATATATTCTTGAAACTTCCTTTCAATTCTTGAATTTCAAATTCTTGAAAAATTCACTTTTTTTCCGGCAAATAGTTAGCGAGATGTCGAAAGTTAAATATTGAAAATGTTACGAAGTTTTTCTTAAATATCTCAAAAAATATTAGGCAAATAAAAAAATGTTTCAGACAAAAGTTGTTAAAATTAACTGGTAGAAAAAGAAAATATAATAAAAAATTAGAGTTTCCATTTGAAAAAATTAAGTTGACCTTTATTTGATCTTACAAGAGGAGGACGCGTCAACCGGGAAACGGTTTGGAACGAAACTTATGGAATTAATAGTACTTGACTACTAGTAACTCATGGTAATAGCATTCGATGCAATGCTTCTTCGTTTTCGAGAAAAAACGGTGTAAAAAAAGAGCCAACAAAACGTACGAGTTAGTAAGAAGGATATTCAACGAAGCGGTGTAATGGAGCATTGGAGGTAACGGACTACTGATCTGAGGCCCGAGTTCGATCCCTGTTGTGTTTTTTTATTCTTTAAGCATAAAAATAAAAAAGAAAACATTAATAAATAATAAAACTGCGTTTCTTAAATATATTAGTGTTTGTTAAATATATTATTAATGATTTGAATTGCAAAGAAACCGTAAATCTTATCTATAAAATATGTAGTGTATGAGAAAATTTTTATATAATCATTGCAATGGAAATAGGAGTAAAAATATATTAAGTTGTTATAATAATTATATAAAGGTGCAATTGAAAGAACAGTAGTATTAAACAGGGTATTATATTCATATTGTTGTGTCCGAGCCACAACGTTTGTGGTGACGTCCGTTGTCCGTAAGCCTTAAGCATCTGATTTTGACAATTGAGCGAGGATTGTCCTGACGACGAGAAAATCGATAAGAAGAAGAGAATAACAGCTGATAGAGAGTCTCTGGCAAGCTGTCATCGAAGACAGACGCGAGAATTAAGAATTATTAAAATAGAGAATTATTCTTGTTTAAAGCGTGAGCGAGTTATGCTGTAAATATTAAAGCTTCTTAGTCGTTACGCGGGTGTTTTCATTTACCCGAGTGCAAGCGCGAGTGTGAGAGTGAGCGCAACAATATTATATATTCATATTATGTTTTTTATGTATATAAGATACATAAAAACATACAAAGACAGACATACATATAAAATATTTTTACTTCTTTTTCCATTGCAATGATTATTTAAAAATTTTCTCATACACTATATATTTTATAAATAAGATTTATGGTTTCTTTGCAATTCAAATCATTAATAATATATTTAACAATACTAATATAAATACTAATATATTTAAGAAACGCAGTTTTATTATTTATTAATGTTTTCTTTTTTATTTTTATGTTTACAGAATAAAAAAAAACATAACAGAGATGGAACCCGGGCCGTCAGATCGGTTAGTCCGTTACCTCCGATGCTTCGCTACACCGCTTCGTTGAATATCCTTCTTACCAACTCGTATGCTTTGTTAGCTCTTTTTTAGACCGTTTTTTCTCAAAAACGAAGAGGCATTGCATCGAATACTATTATCATGAGTTACTAGTAGTCAAGTACTATTAACTCCGTAAGTTTCATTCCAAACCGTTTCCCGGTTGACGTGTCCTCCCCTTGTTAAATGCATGTTTTAAGGTCAAACCAAAGGTACCATTTAAACCATACAACTACGTCCCCCTTTAAACCATACAACTTCTATTTAAAACATTTCTTTCTCCAACGCTTCGTTTTTGAGATATTTCGCATTATCAACTTAAATAGTCCACCCTGTATACAAAATTATAACGAAAGCTTTAACGCTACGGTTTAGTATTTGGCACCAAAACACTTCAATGTGGTGCAAAAATAATGGAAAGTGCCAGTTACCTGGCCGCTATAATGTTTAACAAAAGCTATTCTCCAATATTAAGAATAATGAATTCAATGAACATCGTAATTGGATAATAATTTTACCAATTCATATAATACAAAACAGTTAGATAGAGTGGAGCGTTGTAGTTCATGAAGATTTAAAGAGGATCATATCGCCCGACAAATGGAAAAATCAAACTAATAAGAGTTTTTTGATGAAGAAGAAAGTTTATTCTATGGTTCCATAGCAGAATAAATGTTCAGATTTTTTATTTATAAGTATCGTGTGAAACCTTAAGCGTATTTTTCTCGACACCATTTTTTGCAAGTTGGCGTGCAGGATAATTTAAACACTAATCATTTTTTTCTAAATGGAACTTTTGGAATTATTTTAATTCTGAAACATTTTTAATTTTTCATGTTTTCCTTTGGTAATAGATATAATCCCAGCATTAATTATCTAACTTTAAGAAAATTTTTGTCATATGGCTTTCAGATGACTTTGACAAGTCCTACACTGCACGTTAACAATAGGCACATCGTTGGTAGCTGTTATTTTATTATACATTATCATACATTATTATTATTATTATTATACATTATTACACGCAGTTCAGAAAATAATGAACTTCAAAAATAAAAATATTTTTTTGTAGTTTAAGGATTCCCTTTTATTTTAAAAAAGTTCATTCCGATATCAGCAATAATTTTCTTCGTATATAATTCGCAAAACTATTTTATTTTTAGATGAGATATAATGGGTTCTCCCCTTAAGATGGAGTTATGATTAAATGTAAAGCACCAAATTAATTTCTGCACCTAATGACATCATTCTATACATGTCAATAGAAATATAATAAACTACCTTGCTGTTTAATTTTTCCGCTATCAGGATCAGTCCAGGATCGAAAAGCGATTATGTACCAATCACCTGCTGGTGGAGCTTCTATCTTGATCATGTATTGGTTTTTGTTACTTTGCATTTCTAGACTGTAACATCGTCGTCGTCTTTTCATCAGTTTCGCAGCTATTTTTGATCCATCGGGGCGAACAAACGGCAAACTACCAGGTTTTATATCTAAAGAGACATTACGTGGCGAACATTTACCTATCCCCCCTGTCTTTTCTTCTTTCGCCGTAAATCTGAAACGTAAAATAAAATGACATTTCAGGTCATTTATATTTAGAAACACCGATGACTTTGATTCTCATATATGTTGCCAAGATCATTATTTTGACTAATTGACAAAAAGTTTTCACTGGCAATCATTGTTTATATAAAAATATTAATAACAACATATCTGTCGCAAGATATGTTTCATTTTTCATCTTAGAAATTAAGATCCCGAACTTAAAAAATACTAATCTCAAGCGTTGATTAGTAAATAACACAAGATTTATAAAACAATCCTGTTTTTAACACTCCATGCACTGAAGCAGCCAATTTGACTCCTCGTGAAATTCAAACTGCTTTAACTTTTTTCAACTTTGCCTCCATGTGATATTCTTTTGTGACTTTTCATCATTTTTCATGTTCTTAATTTTAGTAAAAAAATATTTCAATTATATAAGCTGGTTGAATTTTTATTTAATTGTTTACCTAGAACTGTTGGAACCAATTTAGCTCTCTTATACCTGATATTGCATTTTCATATATTTTACGGGTTTATTTACAAGTTGTATGACTTTAAATAGATAAATAAATATTTTTATGTATATCTATCTACTTGTTCGCTTGAAAAATCATTATATACATACATATGAGTAGTATAGGGGTAGGTATGGCCAGTCAAAACATTCCCTCTCCATTCGACTCCCCGGCGCCACTAGACCACGCCCACCGGCGCCGGAGGGTCGAGTAGAGGGGAAATGTTTTGAATGACCATAACTACCCCTAAGGCTAAGGAAAATGGCGGAAATTTGAATCAGCGGAATAAAAATTAGCGTAATCTAAATATTAAATTTTTATTATTCATATTAAGCGGTGTTGTGAATTCTAGCTAGGATTGAACCTGGTACACAGGGATATGATGATCTAGCGATTTACGCTTACATTGACAAAAGATTTTCTTATATATTCGTACAATCAACTGATCGTTTCGTTCACAATCATTGGTAAACAAACTGTTAAACTGCTCGAGGTTATAACCCTGACATAAAGTAAAGAAAAACACAACAATAATGACCACAAGTCGTCTATAAGAATCCCTGTAGCTGAAAGGTATTCCATTGGTAAGTGACGGAATTTTTTCTAAGACTCAGAGAAATCGTGAGTCCCAGGGTGGCATCCCGTAGCTGTCGAAGTATTGGGTTAGCAAGAAAGTAATTTCGGTTTCCTAGTGTGAAATAAAACTCAATTTTTACTATATAAAAAATGAACTTTAATCGGTCAAATATTTTCCATCCTGTTCGATGACCTTTTTCCATCTTTCTGGTAGCTTCATGATTCCGCGCTCATAGAACTGCTGGTCCTTATCAGCAAAAAACTCAATCAAGTGCGATTTGAGATCATCGTTGTTGTTGAAATTTTTACCGTTTAAAAAGTTTTGTAAACTTCAAAATAAATGATGATCCGATGGTGCAAGGTCAAGGCTATATGGAGGATGCGACCTCACTTCCCAACCAAGCTCCAATAATTTCGTACGTGTTGCTAAAGATGTATGGGGCCTCGCATTGTCGTGGTGGAACACGATTCCTTTACGATTTGCCAATTCTGGCCTTTTCTCTTTGATTGCTTCCTCCAATTTCATAAGTTGTTGGCAGTCAACATCTGAGTTGATCGTTTGGTTGCTTGGAAGCATCTCAAAATACATAACACTTTTGTAATCCCACCAAATTGACAGCATGATCTTTTTTTGATGCAATTCAACTTTCGATACGGTTTGTGCCGGTTCATGCTTGGACCATGATCTTTTTCGATTAATGTTGTTGTAGACGATCCATTTTTCATCACCAGTGATAATTCGCTTCAAAAAAGGATCGATTGCATTACGTTTGAAATGCGTATCGCAAATATTGATCCCTTATGTTAAATGAATTTCTTTCAATTCGTGCGGAACCCAAATATCCAGCTTCTTAACGAGTCCAAGACGTCTTATGTGATTTTTAATTATTCTGTGTGACACATTTAACTTTTTTGCAATCTCTCGCACAGTTATATGACGATTTGATTCAATTATGGCTTTCATTTTGTCTTCATCAACTTCAGAAGGTCGGCCAGAACGATGATCATCTTTAAGTGAAAAATCGCCAGAACAACATTTTTTAAACCAATTCTGACACGTGCGTTCTGTTATGCAACCAACACCATAAACTTCACATATCTCTTTGTGAGCCTCAGCCGCTTTACGAAAATAAAAAAGTAAAATATGTCGAAAATGATCATTTTTGCACTCCATGTTAAAGTTGACCATAAACCAACAGTTGTAAACAAAATTACACGGACTTTGTTTTTATAGTAACCTAATAGTGTCAACTATCAAATCTGAAAAGAAAAAAATTATAACATTGACAGAAGAATAACGACACAAACATAACGCTATCTATTGGCGTAAACCGAAATTACTTTCTTGCTAACCCAATATGTGGCCGCTCCATTCCGATCGACGTAGAATGCAACCCAGTGCTGTCCCGGACGATCATGATTGTCCGTATTAGCGAATACTGCCGTCGACCTCGTCCACACCCTCGGTAGTCTGTCGGCTGGATAGACGCCTGTGTATCTAGCATTGAGATGTTGCAATGCATGTTGAATTTCAAGCGAATTCATTTTATATAATTTCATTTACCTCTGGTAACGCGATTGTTATAGTCACCGACGGCTCGACGGAATGTTCCAACTCAGTATTTGTCTCGTTTTCCTCTTCTTTAACCGGCGACTGTTCGCTCCCTGATTTGTCGGAATAACTATTTTCTCTGTCTTCCTCGTCAATTTTGGAGGACAAGCACCGGGTCACATAGATGTTGTCGCGTTTCCTGATGTTGATTTGACTTTGTTCGATGAACCAATGTTTCAATTTGTATACATCGCGTAATGCACAATGATAACGTCTGTGTTTTCTAAATGTGTGGAATGAGCAGCCTTTTATTCGTTCGCTGGGTGAAAGATCATTGGACGTCGGCGAGATATTCTCCAGATTATATACGTTTCGTGCTAATAAATTTTGCAAGTAGCTCGCTTTTTCCTTGCCATTTGTCATGAAGTTACGAACATGACTCGTAATTTCACGCAAGCGCGGATAAAAATATTTTGGATTAGTCTCCCCATCGTACCACTCGATTCCATGATAATTCAGCGAAAGCCAGTTATTTATCCGTCTTGATTTTTCGTTCAATTCCACAAATGAATACTCTGGAGCTAAGATCCAATGTCCGACAAATGCCTCATTAATACCGACAATAGCCACCTCCTTGATTACATAGGTATCGTTGCTATCGCGGAAACACTGTACTTCGATGATCACATCCATGTTCTTGCTGTATTCGCAATTCTGCTTGCCGAAACTATACTCTTTACGCCTCGAAGCCGACTGAGTTTTTTCTCAAAATTTTTACTCTGGAGGAGAATGATGTTGAAAATCTTTACACGGGAAGAGGAAAGACCCCGAAAAGAAAAGTGGGAGGTGTGTTTCTTTAATCGCTATAATCTACAATGACGACGAGAAAAATCTATTTCCAGCACACCTTCAAATTCAGCGTAAACTAAGCAATTGACCGTTATTGTGAGAGCTCTTTCGAATCGTACTTCCATTCGCAAACTACCGTGTTTTACAAGGTTCCACTGGCCCGCGCAATTAGCTGATAGATCAGGAGTGAGATCAAAAGCGGAAAGAGTATAACCAGCAGGATAATCTTCTCTGGACATTAGGAATTAGTTTCGCTCAAAAAGTGAATGCCCGTTCCTGAGAAAAGAGTATGATACGCCTCGGCGTAGAGCACCTCGTTACCAGAGAATTTGTGTTGTAACGGTCTACTAGGGATTTGAGTACCATCGACATACAACGAAAAGTAATTTGTTCCATAATGCTTGAAATTGAATGGATTTAAATGCCGGGCACCGTTAAACGCTTTGTTATCGACAATGCCGACAATTATGTGCTTTGGTATTTGTCCAAGAATGACGTTGTCCAGTCTCTTTTCTACGACGCCGCTATGAATCGTGAATGATTTAACCTCGACTCCCGTGAGGGGGTATTTAGCAGTAGTTATGGTCAACATTTTCGTATGAGCAATTAATATACCTAGGTTTATTCTAGCTCTTCTGATGAATAGTGTAGCATCTAAAATGCGTATCCGTGACATAGTATTTCCCTCCATAAGACAGAAAGAATCTTTCGAACGAACAAGCCCCATGCGCACTTCGACACCGTTGATCAAGAATTTACCTTGATTGAAGACGTCGCAGTGAAGATGACCTATGAAATCCAGTATTCGCTCTCCTTGTACAAAAGTGGCTCGCTTGTCGAGTCCATGATTGCTTGATGTCGCTCCAGATAAAGCGTTCATGTTCCCTGCAGTATCGCTGTACCACAGGCACGAAGCCAGGTGGGAGGTTTTTACTGGTGAAGCATAATTTAATAACGCCTCTATGTAAGCGTAAACATTGTTTGGAGGAAACACGAGCTTTTGATTGAAATATACGTCGATTTGATTGAACATCGAATGCAGTATATGGTTTACTGAGCTTACTTTTGCGGTGGCGGCTCCTGCTCCGGTTTCCGTTTCTAATCGTATGCGTAGCGACAGCATGGTGTGAGCAAGATCTATGTATTCTTCTCCATGCCCGGGTACGTCGAATTCGACGGGCGCGTCGTCCATGAGAGAAGACACGGGTTTGTAGTGAATCCATTGTGAACTCAATACTGGTCAATACTGGTTTGTGTAGGCGGTAGGGTGAAGAAATCGAGTTCACTCTTTAAACATTCGCAGGAATGCGTATGAAGAAAGGACATGCTTCGAAAGCACGCGTTTGTTGTTTAGGAAAAAATGTCTGATACAATACGCTTCTTAATAACTCCCCGACGTTTAGTGAGTCCTCTCCCGCTTTTTTTCACTGAACGCTTCTTCTTCGTGGGTTTCTTCGTTAGCTTCTTATCCGATTTCTTCCCCGATGCGTTTCTTCGAGTCACTTTCCTCTTACTTGATTTAGAAGCGCTGACCCGATGTTTGCGCGAAGATGATTTACCGCTGTATCCGTTTGGCGTGTTGAAAGGAAACTGAGCTTTTCCGATTTTCGCAGGAAATTTATATCCTGACCCCTTCATCAGATTGTTAATGTGTTCTCCCGCTCTTCTTTTGAGATTTGAGCCTGATTCCTTGAGGCGCGTTTTAACAGCTACTTCTAATGGTGTGTTATTCCCAACATCATCGAGTTTATTAATCCCTGCGCGTAGAGCTTCTTTTCCAACGACACGCACACCACTGGCCAAATAAGGTAACACCCGTCTGAACAGACCACCGAGAAAGCTAATACCGTGACCGTTCTGATACCGCGATCCTATGCTCGTGGAATTCCGCCTCCACGATTCCCCCGGAATGTGCTTCGTAATATTCTAAATAATGCGTCATATCTATTTGTTCTAATTATGGGATAATTATCTCTAATCTCGACGTCTAAATTGTAATGTATTGTCAATAACTGTCAACGTCCCAAATTCAAATGGTATTCTTTCACCAACCTGATCTCTTATATCTATTTCGATCGTGCAGAAACATGTTAATCGCAATGGAATATAATTCGGTGGCGAAAAATGTTTCACCATGTTACGTCCGTAGGCATATTTACCATCGTTGTAGTCGACGGGAACCACTCGGAGAAGAGGAGAATGCACGTTTCCCGTTATATAGGATTCGCAGATATCGCAACAAACAAAGAGTTTATCAGGTACACCCCACACCACACTACCTGGTTCGTCGGACATAAGTTTACGTTTTGTCGTGGTGAAAGCGTAAAACTTTTCTTCTCCAGCTTTCTGGGAATTCACAATATGATCAGTATTGGGATAGTACGCTACACGTCCCTGCATAATTTTTAACGAGTTAAGTTAAGATGAATTAATTCTTCGTTCGGTCTATACACATCGAAGCCAAGCATACGAGCCACTTTGTCGAAAAAGTTTACGAAATGAAGTCTATTGCATTCTTTAATATCGCACGTGCAGTACAGCGTTACTTTACCACCATGATGAGGATCCTGGCGCCAAGCAATGTGCGTTTTGAGCAATGAGCTAGCGTTGTTTAAAACCTGTAACAGTTCGCTCATCGTGGCGTAAACACCCGGAGTTATGCGGGTAACCCCGAATTTGGGTAGCTGGTCTTCATCTTTTTTGACGCTTTTGGTATTAATATTTTCACGTGGTAACGAAATGAATTTAAGTTCTGCATCTTCCTCGGGACGCACGTGTAAAAAGCTAAAGGGGAATTGAATTTCGGTAAGCGCAACTTCCCATAACCAGTCAGCTACACTTCTTGAGGCAATTCCGTAATAAATGAAGTAATTGTATTTTCTGGATAGTGTCGCATGCTACTATTGCTCGGTAGAGTCACGAGAAACCGGTCTTCTCCCATTATGGTTTGGAAGCAGCTTTAGGTTCGAAGCAGATGTCCAGGAATTGAATTTAGTGGGGTAACCTCGCCAGCTGACGAATAATTTTTTATTAGCTCCTCGTCCTCTGCATCGTATCACTTTATCCACAATAAACTTTTCTTCTTGTAAGTTTTTATTTAACCTGGCCAGTTCTTGTTCGTAGAATATCCTGTCGATCACTTTACCTGACAGATCACTCAATTCGTACACACGAGGATTTCGCCATTCGAGAATACGGTGAATCCAAAATATTTCTCCCGTCCAGTTCGCCTCATATCCTTTCTCAAAGACTCCTTTCGCTCTACTGACTCGCACTAATGTACTCACTTTGTATTTAGCTCCTCGACTATGATTTCTTCGATCGAGTTCATCGAGAAAGTGGTATCGCTGCTACATATGTTCACGAGCAAGGCGGGCGTTGTCCAACGTGACGCTTGCCGGTTCCATTTTAATGGTGGAAGGTCGAGTGTGGTTGTAAGCGTGCACGATGTCTTGCAAAAAATCTATGTAACGATGTGTATTTTTGTGTGTAAAATAGCGCCATAAGCGTTCTTTGAGCGTCCTGTTGAAGCGTTCGACCACCGCTGCTTTGACATCAAGATTTCGCACCGTGTGAAAACATATATTCTTTTCCTTCAGAAAATTTTGAAATGTGTGACCGATGAATTCTTTACCCTTGTCACTCTGCAACCACACCGGTACTCGCCTACTGCTCCTTGAGAGCACGCGACGAAAAGCTTCCGTCACGCTGGCCGAAGTCTTACTTCATATTGGTTCTACCCAGACAAATTTGCTAAACACATCGATGATTGTCAACAAGTAACAATAACCCTCATTATAATTTCGGAGATTAGCGAGTTCAACCAAATCAGCCTCCCACAGATCGTCGATATTCGTGACGTTGTAATGCAAACGTGGAAATTTATGCCGTGTCGGTCGATGAAGTGTGTATGCATCTTGCGCCTGAAGCTAACGAATAATCTCTTCATGCGTGGAGTCAGGTCCTGCGGCTCGCAAAAGATTTTTTATCGTAAAGTGTCCCGCATAGTGTGCAGGACCGTAGTAGAATTTTGCGAGGTCGGTCATTCCAGTGTGTTCCAATTGATCAAACGTCTTTTACTCGCTGATTTAAATGCGTGTCGCTCACACGCGTTTTACACCTATATTGATCAGAAGTTATAAATGTTGCGTGTACACGCCCACCGTCACGTTGTTCTCCCACGAGATACGTCTCCCCGATAGCACGCTTGCACGTTCGTTATACTCAATTCTAACGGGTTCCAATCTATCATGCATCTTTTATTCGTTGGTTTAGAAATGTCACCGTTCATACGCGTTTTACTACTATTCTCATTGGTTGTTACAAACAGCGCCCGTCCATCCTCGTCATCCTTTTCCTCAAGCGACGTTTGGGCAATTTTACGTTTAGACCAAAGATAATCGTTAGATGACGGGAGCGGGGTACTGCTACCTCTCGGAAGAGTTTCTCTCAATCTCGCGGAAAGATCATTTTCTTCCGTGTCTTCCTGCAGTAATTCCTGATTTCCTACAAATTCCGGAGGAGTATTCACTTCACGCAAAAGTCGTGCAAACTGTACTCTCGCTACCGACTAGCTTTGCTAGTTTTTCGTTCGCGAGCCGCGTCGTTCAAGAGATCGACGATATTCGCTCCTCTCAGAATTCTATCATCTATAGTCACGACTCCCTGTCTGTCCTAACTTAATCGACCGGGTACCGCCACATCACACAAATGGGTCAGCAGCTTGCACGCTTTAGTCCGGTAAGTCTTTGGCACTTTATTCAGTATTCTTCCGATGCTTTTCTATTCGCTGGTGCGATGATGACGACTGCGTCTTTCGTCTCGTACATGTTGAGAAACGTTCA